CTATGCTGTAGAGGGAGTGCGATGGGGTGGGCTGTTTTCGTAAAAGTAATGACGCTGTGATTTGTGCAGGGATAGATATCAGTATAATAGGATATTTATTCAAAATAAATTCTGAAGAAATTTACTTGAATAAAAAATTCACGCGTACCAATTTTAAACAGATGACTTGTTACTTCCTCCCTAATTTGCGCTTCTTATAAGAAAAATGTCCACTCATCTAACATAAAATGCAAGTAGATGGCAATTGCAGGTGGGATAAATTACGCAAGCAAATTACGTCAGATAAATGGCGTGAATGTTTTCATCGATATCGAGATGAAAATCAGATTCTTCCTAAGACACGCTGCTCGCCTTACTGGGAGCCAATGACAATCGCATGTCAATAACTGGTACTTGCGAAAAAATCAGGACAACTCATCTGTTCATTTTTTAGTTAGGGCGAATGACAACGAATCATGGTAACCGGCGCAAAAAGTTCTGAAACTGCACAACGTCGAGTCCCTATGACAATAGAGAGATTAAATTTCTATAAAAATTGGTAGATTAAAAAATTTAAAAAAATTGCAATTCAAATGACGGCACAGAAATGCTGATGGGACAAGCAAGCGGGAGATCATAGAAGCAGAGCTTAATGTGACTGGCGAGGATGATTGGTGGAGAAGCACTTCTTCGATATTTGGCTTAGTTGTCAGAGCAGATGAATTTGCCACCGGCTACGGTAATTATGTAAATAAATGAAACTAGCTGAGAATCTGTATGTTTACAAGAATTATCTGAAAACTTTATACAGTCTTGTACTAGGAATAAGTTTTAAATTAAGTTTTTAAAGACAAAGATGTTATGGAATGAGTGGGAAAGGGTTAAAGAATTATGAAATTAGAAACTATTTTTTGTATCTGAAAAGAAATGTTTCGATTCAAACAACCTGGCAAAAGTGTTAGCTCGCGTCACTTTTGCTTGCATCTTGCGACGTTTGGAAAGGTACCCAAGAGTTCTTAAAAAGGTATTAGTGCACTGATATGCATGTTTGGACGGAGTGGAAAATAAGGACGCAGAGTGCTATCTGTTGATATTAAGCGGACTGATTGGTATGGTGTAGTAAGGTGATT